TTTGTGTATCGGTTCCAAGTGACTTACCCAAATAGGTCATAAATGGGCATGTACCTGCGCGACAGCTCGCCAGCTTCCTTCGTCTGACCTGTAGGATGTTCTAATTTTAGGGAAATGCGAAGGTTAGCTCAGGATAGGAAAGACTGAAGGTGCGTGTCCAATCTTTTATAGGACTGACGACCCTATGATAATGACTTGTCATTTTTACAAAACCTAATCCTACCTGAGTTATTACAGACTTTAGGTCCTTCAAGTCGGAGATAAAAGTTAAAGGAACAGTAGTTTGAGATAACTTTTGTCCTAATTAAAATTTCATTACGTTAATACAAATAAAAAAAATAAGTACTCTCTTCAAAACTTCTTATTGATTTATACTTATCATTTGATAAGAATATTTACGCATTTTCTTTTCAACACGTACTATTTTTGAGATGAGGTTATTATGTAGTAAAAAAAGAATAAATAGTCACTTTAATTACATTAAAAACTATTCAAGAAAAGATGACGAATCTAGTTCTTCTTGGTGTATCTAAGTTTGAAAATAAGCATAGTACCCATATTATGTAAAATTTTTAACTTTTGCTTTTATGTCGGGAAGTATGTCCTTACTTTATTTTATGTTTATTATTTTTCAGAAAAACTAAAGTCTCTCATCAACTAATTTAATTATATTTTTCATTATTCCTTGTTACATTAAATAAGTAATATAATTTTATACGATGCGGGAAATTTTTTTATTGTTTAAGTGTAGTGTCTGAGTGTAACCACAGTGTACTTTATTTATTTACTGTTTTACTTGTTCGAAGATTTTAAAGTAATTGTGCACGTTAGTTAATACATTTATTGCTTCATTTATACAACAATTCAATTATTTTTATTGTTGAACATACATCGTCACATAATGGGTAGTCCATCTGCATTACATTCTATTTAACTTAAAAAACGAGCTTTGAGAATGCCCAACAACTTAAGCGAAACGTTGGCGGTTCTTTTGGACAAATTAATGAGATCACTAAAGCCAAAAAGGCGTAAAACTTCTTTAGTTCGTAAAAACCACAGCTTAGGCTTTTCGCTTATAGGAAAACTGCCCATTGGAAAACATTAGTTATGTATAAAAGTCCATAACATATTTAAATATTTAAGTCCTAATTTAGAAGAAACAGAGGAACGCGGGAGGCCATTCTAGCTTTAGAGGGTAGAGGTAGACCTAAATTAGATTAGTGCTCGCAAATAGTTATGGACGTGGGTTGTCCTAGTTTTAGAGAATTGCGAGAATTAGCGCAGGATAGGAAAGAGTGGAGGTGAGTGTCCAACAAGTCTTAAGACTGACGACCTTATGATGATGAAGAATATGAACTGTACGCAAGTGGTACAAATGTTTCTTAGATGGAATAATAATGACCGGTAGCAATGCTGTACGCGAATCATCATCATAAGGTCGTCAGTCCTAAGACTGGTTGGACACGTACCTCCACTCTTTCCTATCCTGAGCTAAACTTCGCATTTCCCTAAAACTAGGACAACCCACATCCTTAACTATTTGCGAACAATAGTCCAATCTAGGCCTACATCTAGCCCTCCTAACTTCCGTTTCTGCCTCTAATGTCTTTGACTAGACCTTCATGCCTGAGAAGGTGTCCTATCAACCTATCTCGGCTATTTTTTATTGACTTCCATAGAGTCCTCTGTTCTCCTATTCATTCCAATACCACTTCATTTCTAACCTTTTCTATCCACGATATCCTCATTATCCGCCTATAAAACCACATTTCGAACGCTTCTAACCTTTTCTTTTCCGCCGCGCCCACCGTCCATGTTTCGCACCCGTACAATGCCGCGCTCTAAACAAACACCTTTAACAACCTTTTTCGAATTTCTAAATTAACCGTTCGCGAGCATAGAAGTGACTTCTTTTTATTAAAGGCGACACGACCCTGCGCTATCCTCTGCTTTATGTCCCTACTACTCCTTCCATCCTGACTTATCTGACTTCCTAGGTATCTAATCAACCACTTCTTCTAATTTTTCGTCTCCTATCTTTAAATTCGCTCTTTCTCTACTTTTTCTTCCCTTGCATACCAGTATTTTAGTTTTACTTTTATTTATTTTCATACAGTACTGATCTGTCAGGACCACTTCCATTTTATTTAAAGCTATATCTATTTACGTAGTTGGGACGACACCATATTATCATTAGAGCCGTTCACTTTTTGTAAATGCAGAGTACCTATATAATTCGTAAAAATTAATACTTGTTTTTAATAACTGTTTGCTTAATCTACGTAAGTATATTAGAAGTAGTACATAGATAATAACTGTACCTAACCATTTACGCATAGTTTATGCGTAACCTGATTTGCTTATATAATGGGTCTCTTTTAACAGTTCAACCGGTTTTTCATCCAAATCCGCTTAACGATGTTTTTGTTCAAGAAAACGAATCTGAAATTGATATAACCGCATCAGCGACCGCAACAATTTCTGTTATACACCTTGCACTTGTTTTTATGACCATGTTTTCAATAACACTCAATTTGTGACGGATTTACATTAAATTGTTAATGTTAAAAATAGTTTTAACTTTTAAGTAAGGATTAATCGATAAGTAATTGGATTACTTTTTGGGTCTTTTTATATGTTATTAAAGATAAGGAAGTCAATAATAAATGCTTGCGTTTTACATGCATTGACGTTCAGACACATTTATTTGCATAATTTGGTGAAAGTGAGGAATTTTTCAACCACGCCTATCTCAAAATATCACCCGTATCTTTAAAAAGTGTTCTAAATCAACCGGACTCTCAAAATATTCTGAACAAAGCTTTAAATTGCATTTACCGGAGATATATTACATTATCAATTACAAGAAAGGATGGCAGAAGGCATTTGTAAGTATTTACCTATTGCATGTCGTATATTTCAGGAAATAATGTGGCTCTTTATTTTGTTCGGTTACTAATTAGTATATTAGTGTATTGTTGTTATTCGCTTTCTTGATAATTTATACCTACTATCTATATCATTTCTGATTTTGGAATAAGTATCTTATAAAATAAATGAAATAAAATACCGGTACGCAAGTAAGGATAGAGCGTATATAAAGATAGGAGATGAAAAATTAGAAGTGACCGATTTTAAGTATCTAGGTGTCAGATAAGTCAGGACGGAAGGAGTAGTAGGGATATAAAGCAGAGGATAGCGCAGGGTCGAGTCGCCTTCAAAAAAAATAAAAAGAAGTCACTTTTATGCTCGCGAACGGTAAATTTATAAATTCGAAAAAGATAGTTAAAGGTGTATATTTGGAGCGTTGCTCTATACGGGTGCGAAACATGGACAGTAGGCGCGGCGGAAATAATTTTTAACTGAACCACCATAATATTGTAACCGCCATTTTTGATCTATTTTATATCGTTATACCAGCAAATTACACGCTCTAAGACCCTTGTACATATCTAATTTCAGCCTAACCCGATTAAATTTTTTTTTTTGAATGACTATTGATAGGTCTTCTTCCAGTCAACCATTTCGGATTTTTCGATTTTAATTCCGAATTTGGCATTCTAACATTTGCGCTATTTTCAGTTTAGTTCGATTACCTTTTCAAATAGCCATTCACAATGTTGCAACCGTCATTTTACAAAGGTACGGTCGCTTAAGTAGTAAGAGGTTAACAGTTAATATAGCAGGGATGGGTTCGAAAAGTGATAAAATAATTCTGATATCGGTTACGTATACCAAAATTAGCGCTTACATACCTGTCAGATACAAGATATGGATGCTTTTAGTTGTAAAATGTATCTTGAATACCTGCACCCGACACATTTTTCGGATAACAGATACGGGTATGTTTTTCGGATAACAGGCGTGGATATATTTTTCGGATAACAAACTCGGATACTTTTTCCCTTACAATTTAGTAACATTCCCTTAAACGTGTGTCCCTACGCAAACTTAGAATCAACCACCTTCTACCCTTCAATACTTTAAGTTGTGATCTCTTACTTGAAGCTAAGATTTCATGAATATAATAATATCTATTTCCGGTTTGTACTTTGAACTTCGCATTAGACACCATTTTCTAGACACAATCTCACACGCTCAACTTCAATCTCAATCAACCGTTATACTTGTGAGTGATTACTTTAGTTGTGCACATTAGCTATCGGAGAATCATCAAAGAACGCGGGAAGGTATTATCGAGTTATTGAGTAGATAAACTTAGTGCAGGAATAATGAATTGTTTCCGTGGAATGATAAAAAGTATTTACGAATTACCTGACGGATATGGATAACGATTACCTATATTTTACTCTAAAGGATTCGGATACAGTCTGTATATACGAACGGCATTCTAATGCTCTATCCGGAAACTAATCGAGAAGAAACGGTTAAAATTAAGTAGTATAGATACAGGTTAATAATAAGTTAACTATTCTATTTGAGGCTCATACTCCTTATCTCTTCAGGCCTCAATATTTTACTACACCACTCGTAAATACTTGATGTTATTTAGATTTGTTGTTTGTTATTTCTCCTTTTGATGAAAATTGATAACTGAATTTAATAGAAAGCATATGTAAAATTTTCTTACATGCGTTCTTCTTAAATCTAAAAATTCAGTAGAAAAAAGTGTGTAAAATTATCGAAAATTCGGCTAACAGAAACAATTTTTCTGAACCTCAGAGTTTTAGATTCCAATTTGTTATTTTGCGTTAAAATACACATCGGCTGGAGTTTTAGATAACGCCTTTATGGTCGTAGATGTAGTTACGTAAAACAACATTAAATTATACTGACTTTAAGGTAAATTGTCTTACTGCAGAAATTGTTTTTAAGAATTCATTTATATTGAAATGATAAGCAAAGTAAATTAAAGTCAGCTGAAAATTTAGAAAATCGATTATTATTTCTTTAACGATCTTGCTGAAGAAAATAATGTTCCACTTATAAACCAATTTTAAAAACCGTATTACAATAATTGTATGAGATGTAATACTTACATTCTGAGATGGTTTTTTTATATCCAGTCAGCATTGTTTACTTTTATATAAGCATTAACAAACAATAAAAACTCAACTAATTTTTTTTAAATACAGGTAAGTATATTGTCTAGTCAACCGCGACACCTTGGCTTATTTAACTTAGTTTTGTATGTACTTGTACTGAATTCTGTCACTAAATCTTTAGAATGTCTTATTCACTACTTTTGTAAACCGAGCGCCCGTCACATTTGACGGCCAGTTAGTCGTACGTATCCGTATGGTTTGATACGAAGCCGCAGATACAATGAATGAGTGAGAACTTGGCCAGAGAAATTATTATTTATAACATTTCCATTTTACAGAAGGTGGGACTTACTATTAAAGCGACTCGTACACACGTGTAGATAATTGTTTTGCGCTTTTCCACCTCGTAAAAGTATTTTTTGTGTACACATTATCAACAGAGTTCGTTTAAATCGAAGATAACGGTAGGTAATGATTTTATTTATCAATTGGTACTATTTATTAGACGCCTTTCAGTGTCTTATTATATTTCTCGTGAATATTCAAAAACGAATAAATACCTATTCTAATGAATTCTTTTTCTTTTCTTGTCTCAAACAATAAACAAATTTATCTCATTCATTTATCGTACCACAAATCATTTTAAAACGGGTCCAAACTTTATGTATGAAGAAGTACAGAGATACTCAAGTGCCTATGGGCGAAGGAAGGGGGATTCGAGCTCATTAGTTGTCATCAGCAGTTTTGACCAAGCCAAATATGTTCCGAAAAAGCGAGTTGTTATGGTACGGTGTACGCGTTATAGTCAACATTCATAGATATTGATCGATATGGACTGAACAGTACTGTATGAAAATAAATAAAAGTAAAACAAAAATGCTGGTATGCAAAGGAAGAAAAAGTAGGGAAAGAGCGAATATATAGATAGGAGACGAAAGATTAGAAAAAGTGACCTATTTCAGGTATCTAGTAAGTTAGATAAGTCAGGACGGAAGGAGAGGATAGCGCAGGATCGAGTCGCCTTCAATAAGAAGAACTCACTTCTATACTCGCGAACGGTTACTTTGGAAATTCGAAAAAGGTTGTTAAAGGTGTATGTTTAGAGCGCGGCGCTGTACGGGTGAGAAAGATGGACAGTGGGCGCGGCGGAAAAGAAAAGGATAGAAGCGTTCGAAATGTTGTGTTACAGGCGAATGATGAGAATATCATGGATAGAGAAAGTTAGAAATAAAGAGGTATTAAAAGGAATAGAAGAACAGAGGACTCTAAGGAAGTCAACAAGAAATAGGCGTGATAGGTTGGAAGGACACCTTCTCAAGCATGAAGGTCTAGTCAGAGACATATTAGAGGCAGAAACGGGAGTTAGGAGGGTTAGATGCAGGCCTAGATTGGACTATTGTTCGCAAATAGTTAAGGATGTAGGTTGCATGAAGGTATAGTCAGAGACATATTAGAGGCAGAAATGGGAGTTAGGAGGGGTACAGGTAGACCTAGATTAAATTACTGTTCGCAAATAGTTAAGGATGTGGGATGTTCTAGTTTTAGGGAAATGCGAAGATTAGCTCAGGATAGGAAAGAGTGGAGGTACGTGTCCAGCAAGTCTTAGGACTGATGACTTTATGATGATGACGGACCATATGTGAACGCAATTTTTAAAGATTAAATATTACGAGTTTCTTAAGTATTACATATGTTACGAATTACCTCGCGGATACCCACGTTTTTTATCGATTTTAAACGTTACACCCTGTATATGCATTAGTTGGACGAGACTGTGCACGTTTTGTCGCTGTTGTCACCTCTCGTAGGTTAGTTGTCAGAGTATTGGTGCGTAAAGCGACGGGTCCAGAGTTCGATTCCCGACGAAAGTATGACAGCAGCAATTGCTTTTTCTCATTAATTTGAGGTAATGTGTAGTGGATAAAAATTAAATGAATTTTCACATTAACATCAAATTGCGTATTGTCATACCGACAATTAGTAAAAACGGTTGTTGCAAGGTTAGTTAGCTGCGGCTGTCTACATTTTCGAGGATTATGAAGATTGTATTTATCCAATTAAGTGAAAAACAAATTAAAGAAATGTCGAACATATGCATTTGCATATCAATATCGCACTGTGCACTGCATAGATTAAAAAGCTAGTTGCGCAGTATACTTGTCCCGACGCGACTAAACTCATTAGCTGTCAATAGAAAGCTTTGGATTGGACTGATCTTTTTGCATCATAGCATCATTAAATTAGAAGTAAGTTACTCTATTGTTTTAAATTTACGCGATAGGTAAAAAAAGTCCGTGAATCGCAGAGAGCTTTTGCCTTAATGTAGTGGCGGAACTGCTTGGACAATCATGACTCCACTTTCTCTTTTGTTTCTCTTTGTTTTTTCTTTACCTATCACGTCAGGCCATGCAAGCAAAAGTTTAAAAATTTGGTGGTTTCCGCTCAAACTTATCATGAATACCAAAAAATTTAAATCACATTTTGCTCCCACACATAAAATGCTAAACTACCAAAAATGCTTTCTCAAAATGCTTTCTATTTCTGAACTTCTAAATTCCTTGATTCGACGAGATGAATTGTTTAATCGGTCATTAAAAAACCCCTCGAAGATAACTTCTGAAATATAAATTTATTCCAATTGAAAGCTTTTTTTTATTTTATATCGTAAGGGTATTTGATGATGTTTGACAAGGGCCTTACAAACTTTTGCGTGATCATGACATATACAGGTAAGGCAAATCGTTCACTAAACATGGAGATTACATATTTCATTATCGGCATTTTGTTTTGTTATGTCACATGAACGAAAATGCATAATTTGCTGAACGTGTGGAAGAAGTGTCTTCAACCATGTTTATTTGAAAACATCTCCTTTTTAATTCTCTGGAAACTGCATAAATTGGGCTAAAATCAGTTTATTATTTGTACAAATACCACGTCATATTTTTCAACAGATGATGCCGTTTTTAGGTGGTGGAATGTATTAGAACATCCTTATGTAAGGTTCTCAACTTGAAAATCCCCTCAATAAGGCAAATGACTTCCTATCAAGCCAAAGCTGACAAGTAGGCTCAAAATACACAGATTGTGTGAATACTGATTGGACATAATATAGATTAGGCAATGTATCGCCATCTAGTAATATTTGTTGCTAATACTAATACTTATTTGAAATGACTCATAATTATTTATAAAGGTATCTACTTAACAAATTGAATTTACAACGCAGTTTATACATACGTAAAAAGCATGCAAATAAATTAATAAGGAACGTTAACTTTTTGGTCAGAAATCTACTGAAACTGCCAAGCCTGGATTGACCGACCAAAGGGCAGTATATCGTCATTTAGGGATATTTGGTATACTATGCAAGCAAATATTACTAGAGAAACGTACTAATATAGGCTGTCGCTCAATTACCCGTCACATCATGACCTGATGCTTTCTGTCGACAGATACTTTATCTCCCACTTTTCCGATAGACATGAAACCGGCAAGCTGTGGAGTACCGTAAAAGATGTTTTTGTATTAGCTTATTTTACATGTAGCAATGACCCCATCATCATCATAAGGTCGTCAGTCCTAAGACTGGTTGGACCTCCACTCTTTCCTATCTTGAGCTAATCTTCGCATTTCCCTACTACTTATCTGACTTTCACATACCAAAAATCAGCCAATTCTTTTAATTTTGCGTCTCCTATCTTTATATTCGCTCTTTCTCTACTTTTCCTTCTCTTGCATACCAGTATTTTTATTTTACTTTTATTTATTTTCATACAGTACTGCACTGTCAATACCTCTTCCATTTTATTTAAAGCTATCTCTAACTCCTCCCCCTCCTCTTGCTAGATGCTAATATTGCTGTATCATCTGCAAATCTAAACATACTAATCTTTTGTCCTTGCATAACTATCCTTACAGTTGTACTGTCTTTAATGATCTTGATTGCGTCTTCAATGTATAAATTAAAAAGTAGCAGTCGCAGTATGCACCCCTGTCTGACTTCCTAATATTTACTCTCTACGTTGCAGACCCAGCTCTACAGCAGCCTGTTGCTCTTTAAACAAACTAAGTATCACTCATCTATCTCTATAACTCATCCTTACATTTTTGAGTATATATAACATCTTCTCCCATTTAACATTATCAAAAGCTTTTTCTAAATCTACAAATCCTATGTATGCACTCTTTCTTTTTTCTGTCGCTTTCTCTATTGTTACCCGTACAGTTAGAATGGCCTCCCGCGTTCCTCTATTTCTACTAAACCCAAATTGATCTTCTCCTAATAGTTCTTCCGCCCTTTTTTCATCCTCCTCAGTAAATTTCTAGTTGAGAGGAGGATGGAAAAAAGGGATATGACCCCATACAGCACACAATATCCTATGGATGTATGATTACGTCCCAATTGCGTCCATCATGTCCAGTTTCCTTAAGGGATTGCGGGAGGACATTCTATGCATATCCTCGTTGGACATATGTATATGTGTTTTACTAGAACGTGCATCATTCATCAATCATTTTTAATACATAGATATAATACATTATATTCAATGAATGTATATCTTTTGTGGATTTTTTATGAATAGCGAAAGTGTGACATTCGTCTATCCATACTACACCCTGAAGATGTCCGCTGAACATTAAACGGGAGTCTATAGAATATCCTTAAAATCCAACATGGATGCCTTTTTAACATCCTAAAAAGAGGATTAATTAAAACAGGGCGAACTCTCTCCCTCTGCTGTGACTCTGGATAACTATTAAAATATTGCAAATTTGCAAAATAGATATGTGTCCAATAGGTTTCGACAAGAAAATGTTGGTCACCGCCGGCCCGCAACGGTTAACTTGGCTAATTCATAACGCCATCTTGCGGTTCGAATCATTCTTTATCTGACAGGATCGAAGGTACGCAATCCGTTCCGTCGACGTCCCCTCTGACTTGTACAGGAATGGATAAAAGAAACCAGTTTAGCTTTAAAATTAATTTTGCAATTCACAATGTTGATTGAATTCTTAAAATCTGAACATGTCTTACTTGAAATTTCAAATCTTTCAGGAAACCTAAACTACTTCCTTTATTATAAAGTAGTATAAAGTATGCCACAACGACTAATGTCGGGTTTCTCGTCATATTTTGGGCATATTTGCTAATAAATATTAATCAAGGACCGCAAGCTAAAACTGAATTTATACAAGCCGCAGGGCTAATTGTTCTAGACTTTAAAAGACGAGAGTTTATGGATGTTAAATTCAAAGAGTTAGATTTCATAAGTTTACCATTTATTGACTTAGCGTGTGTAGGATTATATGGTGTGTAGGATTATATGGTATGTAGGATAAAGTTGTGTAGATTTTTGACGATTTGGTTCAAGGTTTACGAACTTTAGTTTATTGTTTTATTGAGATTTGTCTAATCTATTAAAAGGTTTTTCGTTAAATTAAATACGACCTATTAGTTGGTATAATTACCAAGAACGATTTATCTCAAATGTATTTACATTATAAATCAATAAGATAAGTAAATTGTTTTTTTTTTATCAAACTCGAGAAGTTCTTCAGAACATTTTTAGAATTGGTCTAAAAGTTTTACATACTTTTGAAACATCGTAAAATACAATAACTTTTGCTTTTATTGAAAGTTACATACACTATTGTTTTAAATTTAGAAAAAGTTGGGGAATTCCAAAGAGTTTTTGTCTGAGTGTTATGGCGGCACTGCTTAAACAATTATGACTCTAGTTTCTCCTCGAGTTTGTGTTGTTATTTGTTTACCTGTCCCATGAGACCATGACCATAGCTCTCTATTGTGAGGTTTCCGACGCTTCAAAACAAGAGATGGGAAAACTGAGCAAGACAGTTTTTTGCTCTTCGAATAACGCTCGCCCACACACTGCTCGTGAGATTCAAGTTCAGCCTGAATAGTTCAAGTGGGGTATTTCCGAACATCCACCTTACTCTTCTATCCTTGCTCCTAGCGACTTCCACCTTTTTCTACAAATAAAACATCTCGCCGAAAACGCTTTACAAATGGAATTGAATTAAAGACAAGAACTGGAAAGATGGATACATACATAGTTTTGTGGGAGAGTGCTTTGATGCTTGTTTAAAAAAAAAATCGCATCCACGGTATCGAAAACGTATTGAGATTAATAGGAATTATGTAGGACATTTTCTTTTGTAATATTTCTACTTATCCGCGCAATTGTAAATATGTTTTTAAATTAACAAATGAATAAATGTAAACATAATAATCGGAAAAAGGTTTGAAGTTCTTTTATTTTATCGTTAAACAACGACAGGAATTTCCTGCAAATTTTGTTATATAAAACAAAACAAATTGTGTGGTTTTATGAAACCACGATGCAAGTGAAATTTTTCGGATTGTATGCATTTAACTGTAAATTTTCAGAAAATTATTCGATTTAGGATATTAAAATTAAAATTGCGTTCTTAATCTTATCTTAATAATTGGAAAATGAAAATTATAATGGAAAATCAATAGTAGACAAGACGAGTACGGAGTACNTATGAGAGTACGGAATACATAATATATACAGTCATTCAAATGATAGATGCATGTTAAAAACTGATAACAATATTTATTTAAATTCAGTTATTCTATCAATTATTTCATTTTCGCTATGTTTCACAGTCTATCAGTGATGCACTTGCACGAATGGGTGAGAATATAAATGCTACACGGCTAGCTCATGCGAGCCATGAGCGCCGTCATATTGTCCTTCGCTGCTCCACCGAGCGCCTTTCAGTTTTACTCCTACTCCGCGGCCGACTGTAATGCGACATGCGATAGATGGACGAAAAAATTTGAGGCGATGTAATAAAAGTTTCACTTTAATAAAATTGTACTGTTATTTACACTTTGATAAAATTTTATGACAAATTAATTGCACACTCAAACACCTTACACTCCACTGTATTTTACATTGCCATCAGCCCACTTTCTTGTTGACATACGTTGGAAGCTGACCCATGTCGTCAATTATTTTCGTTACGGTTTTTCGTTTTATTGTCGATATATACTAAATACATTCACATAACAGTATTCTTACTCCTTTTTCTTAATAAGCATCTAAAGAGGAGAATTTAAGGGGCAACAATTGAGCGAATGGGGCTTGATCTTCAAAAAATGACGCCCCTTTTTGTTCAAAAGTACTTCAAAAATATTAGTGAGTTTGAATAACTCGTTTTCTAATACTTCTACAAAGAGTAGGGTTTATAGGTGTAGTAGACTTTTTAAACTAGATTTACTACTGATGTTTGGTCATGTTCTTATATTGGTTTGTCTATCCGCATGATGTATACCTACTTTCTCTAGCGATTTGCCCTTCCAATGTCTTGGATGCGCAGTGGCAAAATCGGAGGTAGGAAGAAAAAAGCACATTATACTCTCGACTCTTGTACATTAAACATACTTTTTCGTACAGTACTTGCCAAAAGTATTGTTCAATCATAAATAGTAGTGCGTGTCGAAAACAAGGTTTAAAACCTTTAATATGTCTTCAAATATAAATAAACATCTCGTTAATATTTTCAGTAATAATTGGTACCAATAACAGCACATCTGAGTAATGCAATTATAGTGGATAAAATGGTCAATTTTGCGTGCAGTACTGTACGGATTATACGCTCCTCACCGGTTGAGAGTTTGGCCGAGAGTTGTCTCCTTCCTTTTCTGACCTAGTGCTGTTCTTTTCTACTTTGCGCCGGTCAAACTGAAGGTCACATCGCTAGAGAAACTAAACGAAGTATATCTGTCGTAAATGGTAACGGTATTGAAGTGTAGCATCGTCTGGCAATGCCCTTAAAGTTGGCAATTGCTTGATAAATAACTATAGTTGAATAAAAGAATTCAAAAAGCAGGTATGTGTGTCAGTCTACAATTTCACAATGAACATTACAATACAGGTACATTTTCTTGAGCATTTTTCATACATTATGTGTGCGATATTACAGAATTTGCTGAATTCACAAAGTGAGGTCGCTCGGGTGTGCGACGTTTCGCTTGAATTCTAGCGTTCATGCTTGATTAACATGATCGCGAACTCCTGTAAAACTTCGTGCAGTTGAATGATTCTGTCGTATTCGTTCATAATCGTTTTATTTTGCGTTGCTCCAGTTTGCTCATGATAAGTCTTTAAAATCTCTTGGAACTGTATTAAACGAAAAGGATCTAGTAGCAAAATATTACAAATCGTATTTAAATTAAATTCAAGAATGACATGATGAAAAGGTATAGAAGTAGAACGCGAATTAATCGGAATTTAAAGTCGAATTATTTAAAATAATTAATATTACAAGTGGAAAAGAGTTTATTATTTATTATAGTAAAACTGGGTTCGTAATATGCTGTAGATAGGATGATTTTATGAATAGTGTTCAACTAGTACTTTTAAAAGTGGGATCGAATGATTCTCAGAAAACAAACCTGAAACTTGAATACAATATTTGTACCTCCACTTCACACCAGTACGGATGAACCATTGAGACGTAGCCTCTGACCTTTTCACTTGCGGCTCAGATGATAAACAAGAACCACATTCGGCTAAAAAAGAATGTCGCTCACGCTCGGGAAAAATATAGAAATGCAGAAGGGGTTGGTCATTGGGAACACATTATTTACTCTAACTTTGTGTTTTTATTCTGTTACTACTACTATATTGATGACAATCATTATAGTCGGGTCAGTTGGTGTGCGTCAAGTTCTTAGCTCGAAGAAGAGCTGAAGATCTACCTTAACACAGAATAGCAGCGTTGCCAGGTTCAGTAGACAGAATTATCGCACTCTTTAGGAAAAATTATCGTATTAACATCAAAAATATCGTAAGTTATTGCGCATGCGCATCGGAGTAATAGTCCAGTAGTGTTAGTATGAGTTTGTAAACAGAGTCTGTGTACCCCAGTGGTTTTCTCAGTTCCATTATACCATCAATAGATGACACTATAAAAACTTTCCTGACAGGCTAATAACTTCAAATAGAAAAATGAATTTCGGACTGGATTTTAAACATTTTGGAAAAAAGTTCATAAACAATTAAATTTTATTTAATGTATACAAATAAACAACTTTCCAACATATATTTATATATCTATGCATATAGTGTATATATTTTAACATTACAAAATTGTACTTAAGTTCTTAAAATCAAATATTCAACATACATAAAAATATTTTTTTTTATAATAAAATCTAATGCAATAATAATAATCAACGTATTAATTCTGTTTTATTATTATATCGTCATCACTATATTATTATCATTATTCTTATTATTATTTTCATAAAGATTATTCGAATTAAAACGAGATAATATTTCATTAGTGATCTCAAATTTATTGCATCCCCTATTCATTTCAACACACTCACTAACTTGTAAGTAAAAGTCCGTTAACCGTCACCAGTTTAGCAAGGAGAAGCTCTTCGGATGTACCTGAGAAGCTTTCGAGAATCAAAAGAGCCGAATTTGCCCGGCTCTGTTGTAAATTAGAGAGAATTTGTATTTTTATGGAGTGAAAATACCCAGACACTGTTCAAATGACCATTTGTTCTATTAACAAAAGATTTTAAGAAGGTAGGAAAACAAGGCAACTGTTTGGCAGAAACAAATATCATAGTCCCACTACATATTACTATTTGAAATTTTATCCCATGAGCACGAATTATCGTACGTTTAATAGAAATTTGAATTACGATATCGTACATCGTATTTGAATCAAAATTATCGTATGTCCCCATAATTATCGTACAGGCTGGCAACGTTGCAGAATAAAGATCGTCGAATGCGCATCTCTAGGGATTGCAATATGAGGGGCTATGTCTCGTTGGTTTTGCAGTACCTAGTTTTACAGCGGGGAAGGAACTGGTATATTCTTTAGGTGCATGTATATAAAAAACTGGGCTTCATCCACCTTTGAACATCTAGTGCTACTCCAGTAGATAAACAATGTTTTTGTAGTGATTTTTGTCTATATATTTACTATATTTACATTTGTTGTACATATGCTAAAATTATTAAAGTAAAAAACAAGTATTGACACCTACAATTTCAAAAATAGTATTAGGTATGCACTCAACACCAATTGTTTAACGTTGGTATGCGTATCCAATTTTTAATCCCATTTATGGAATTTGAGTAGGTACGACCATTTTCATTTTGCTTTGTTAATTTACAATAATCACTTTATTATTTAATAAAACTATTCCTAAATACATATGAACTAAAGTTTTTCAGTCTTAGTTTGTATTTCTTCACAATTATTATAAAAATCTGCCTTGGAAGTAGGATCTACTTTAACGACATTCTTTTCTATTTTGGAATCCCATGCTTGTACTTTCCCGCTACCGAAAAATATAAATGTTACGTCTGTGATGAGCAATACTGCTAAGGTCAACCAAAAGACTATTCTCCACTCGGATATTGTTTGCTGAAAGTACAAAAAATTTAATTACATTTAAGCATACGCATAGTAAATAGTTTATCTTTTAGATACATTTATTATATACTCTCTTCATCATCACCATAAGGTCGTCAGTCCTAAAACACTCTCTCCTATCCTGACCTAATCTTCGTATTTCCATAAAACCAGAAAAAAAAACTTTTGGGTGTTTCATTCCTACCAGCCAGTAATGCTGGTGAGCGGGCAGTCCCTCCGGACTATGCCGGAAGGTAGGGCGGAAGGCCCTCTTCAGCCTGCTTTCAGGAATAGTGGGAATGGGTGGGTGGTGGTTCGGGTGAGAAAGATAAGACGGACGAAATGAAGACAGAAGAGAATGAAAGATTATCTGTGGAATATTACTGCCTCAGCATTTGCCTAAGTNTGGTGGTTCGGGTGAGAAAGATGAGACGGACGAAATGAAGACAGAAGAGAATGAAAGATTATCTGTGGAATATTACTGCCTCAGCATTTGCCTAAGTGATCCAAGGAAACCACAGGAAAACTTGTACCAAGGCAGACGGACCCGGAATCGAGCCCGCGTCCTCCCGAATGCTAAGCAATGGTCTAGACCTCTAGGCCATGCCGCTCGGTATAAAACCAGAACAACCCACACCCTTAACTGTTTGCGAACAGTAATCTAATCTGGGTATACCTCTACCCCTCCTAACTTCCGTTTCTGCCTCTAATATGTCTCTGACTAGACCTTCATGCCTGAGAAGGTGTACCACTAACCTATCTCTCCCATTTCTTATTGACTTCCATAGAGTTCTCTATTCTCTTACCCTTTCTAATGCTTCTTCATTTCTTACGTTCTCTATCCACGGTATCCTTATGATTCGCCTGTAATACAACATTTCGAACGCTTCTAACCTTTTCCTTTCTCACTGTCCATGTTTTCCACCCGTACAACGCCGTGCTTCAAACATACACCTTTAACAACCTTTTCCGAATTTCTAAATTAACCGTTCGCGAGCATAGAAGTGACTTCTTTTTATTAAAGGCGACAAGACCCTGCTCCTCTGCTTTATATCCCTACTACTTCTTCCAACCTGACTTATCTGACTTCCTAGATACCTAAAATCAGCCTCTTCTGCTAATTTTTCGTCTCCTATCTTTATATTCGCTCTTTCCTTACTTTTCCTTCCCTTGCATACCAGTATTTTTGTTTTACTTTTGTTTATTTTCAGTTACACTCTATATATTTTTAAAAATGATGTTATAGGAAATATAAAGGCATTAAAAATACCGTAGGTAGAAAAGGTTAGAAGTGAGAAAGTGTTACAAAGAATAGAATAACGGGCGAAACAAGAAGCATGCGTGATCGTTTGGTAAGATCCCTTCTCTGATATGAATGGTTAGTTAGAGACATGTTAGAAGTAGAAACAGAAGTTAAGATGTGTAGAGATAAAGATTAGATTACCGTTCGCAAACAGTTTAAGATGTTGATTGCTCTAATTTTCGGGAAATCCCAAGTTTGGATGAAGATAGGAAGGAATGGATGTGTTAAATCGGTTTTATAACACTGAATACCTTATGATGTTGATATGATACGAGCTTCTATGTTCTTTCCGAGTCATAACTTTAGTTCCCATCAGCACAACAATGAGTTTCATTGCCCTCCGATGATGATAAATACCAACAAAACTTACCGGAATTTTCCACGTTCACATATTAAATAAATAATGTCACTTACGTTGGTCGTGAGGGCTCCAATAAGGTAGGGAGTGATCATTCCACTTACTGCACCCACACCATTTACAAATGCCATAACTATTCCTGCATAATTAGGTGACAAGTCAAGAGCGTTTACTCTTATTCCGCAATAGTAGAAACCCATTGTACCCATTCCTATGGTAAAGTAGGCTACGGCTAATAACCGGTCACAACCTGCGTAAGATGCCATCACCAGGAATATTCCTGGACCCAATGCTCCTGTAGAGGCGAGTTATAGATGTAGGTAATATTTCATGTGGGTCGAATATTTACTTACCGAGAGTTGAGAAAAATTTTCTTGCAAAGTTTATTCCAATGATTCCTCTATTTATAAGCCAATCGCATAACCATCCTGACGTTATAGAGACAATCCACATTGCAATGTAAGGTAAGGAAGACCAGAGTCCACTTTGTTTGACATTAAACTTGAGTACATCCTTCATATACTTAGGGAGATCGGTCACCATTGCGAAAAGTCCCCAATCATGGCCAATTTGAGCCAGGATCAGTGCCCATAGCGGCCACGATGTCAGTAAGTGTTTCCATGGTATTTTCTTATTTTTCTTTGAATCCTTTTCTACAATGAACAAATTTTGCGTAAATTATGTTTCGTGTACATGATCGATTTGTTCCACAGCAGGTCAAAATCTTTGGATAGTGTTGAACATACCTTTCTAACAATTAATTAAAAAAAAAAGTACCGAATAATTTAAAGGATCGCGAGTTCATGTTTATCAAATGATACTGCTATAACAATAATAAGGAAAAAGGAATATATGACTAATTTAGTACCCAAAGGAAGAAAACGAAGAAAGCATTCTTGAACAGGAACCAACACAATCTTATCGATCAAAGGAATCAGGAGCTTATAGACTCTTAAGATTCTTACAGCAATATCGACTACCTGGAATCAAATTTAGTGTGGAAAAAAATCTGTTGGGAATGGATGAAGGTCCATCAGCTTCCTCCTGGGAATACCATGCAAGGTGCGTGAAGAATTCACAGTTGTCAATAAGTTTAGCAAAGTTACGTAACTAACCTGTCGACAAGGAGGCAATTTCCATACGGTCATCGACGTATTTAGTGACAATAGCATGGGAATGTTTAGGGACCTTATCGCCTATATCGAGAAAACTTAGTATATACATATACAGTAAGTGGATGCTGCCATAAGGGTTTGGATAGTCCCGTATAGGAAGATTACTTGACTAGTTATACTTCATTTACTTTCTCTTTTGTTCAATAAACATACTTATTCATACAGTACCTGCCAAAAGTTTTGTTCAATCATGAATAATAGTGCGAGTCGAAAACAAGCGTTAAAGTCTTTAATATGTCTTCAAATATAAATAAACATCTCGTTAATATTTTCAGTAGTAAATGGTACCAATAACAGCACATTTGAGCAATGAAATTGTAGTGGATAAAATGGTCAATTTTTCCGTGCAGTACTGTACAGACTATACGCTCCTCACCGGTTAAGAGTTTGGCCGAGAGTTGTCTCCTTTCTTTTCTGGTCTAGTGCTGTTCTTTTCTACTTTGCGCCGGTCAAACTGAAGGTCACACCGCTACAGAAACTAAACGAACTATAGCACTTATTGTTAGGTATATTCAAATGGTGCATTTGGGACTAATCCGCCTGAAGGTTGGTATACTTCAGGGAATCAGACTACTAAATGCTGTGCCGGTTTGGTCTGTGGATATCGCCTTTAATAGCATGTACTGCGCGTTAAATCTATGAAGATTACATACTAGACGGCTGCTGTGTACACGATAACCCATTCATTCCCACGATTCCTTGAGGAGAGAGAGAACGGCTTTCGTCACTATTCACGATTTTCTACAACGATGTAAATTGGTGAAGCAGCTCGTCCAATAGCATGAAACAGCTAGGAATGAAACAGCAAGTTTTCTATTTCTGATGTTTATGCTAAATGTCCCACGTTTTTAATACTTACTTGCTGCTACAATGCAAAACGAAAAGACCTTCATATGACTGATTTTAAGTTTATTACTTTCACGCTCATTTTACTTTTCAAATTTAATACCCGAAAAGACTAGAACAGTCTACAGAATAGTTGTGGTTTTTAATTCCTTTTATTGATCAAAAAGCCAACAAAAGCTAACAAAACTTTATTTTTACTTACCTATTTCTTTTTCAAGAAATGCTTTCTCTTTGTCGCTTATGAATGGATGGCTCTCTGGGCTGGAGTAGCAAATGAGGGAGTAAATCACGAACCATATAATCCCAATCCCTCCAAAGACATAGAATGGTGAAGCCCAAGTATTGGTAGAAGATATGAAAAGTCCACTTAACGAATTCCCGAGTACAGTTCCTGTAACATTAAAAGCAGATGTTTGCCATTGGTGTTGGGTCTGAAAATTTTTTAAGGCAAACATTTACCGATTTGAACTCCCGAATAAGACAAAGTTGCGATTCTAGACCTTTCCGAAGATGGAACCCAGCTACTTAATAGAGCCGTTAAAGCAGGAAACGTAAATCCCTAGAATTAAATTAAACATAGTCTTCACTAATTCTAAAAGAGAAGATTACTTTGGTATTATTATACGTACTTCACCTATCCCTACAAGCACCCTAAACACAACCAACCAAGGCCAATTACCAGATCTTACAACGAAAGGGGTTAGCAAAGTAAATATTGCGGTTGATAGTATTCCTAATCCAAGGGAGTGTTTTCCACCAAAATATTCAGATAAAATCGCACCTGGTATATGAGTAACCACGTAACCCCAGTAAAAACTGCTAAGAATGATTCCTTGAGTTTCTTCATTCCAGTTGTACTTATCATTTATCAGCTATTAACAAATATGCTTTATTAAGGTGAATGATTTCGAAAAGCATACAAAATCAATAGTGGTTAACATTTAATAATAATCAAACATTAATGTAAAAGTAACTCAATTTTCATTCGCAACAAATTACTTTATAGTAATGAGGAAAAATTGTTGCTGCTATAACACCCTCGCCGGGAATCGAACCCGGCACCTTTGGATTTACGCGCTAATGCTCTGACCACTAAGCCAAAAGAAGAGACAACAGCAACAATCGTTAAACGTGCTTATTAGGTCAGAGAGTCGTCGAAATTAACGGCTCCAAACAAGAGGCGAAACGCTGGTGTGGGTTCTATAGCCAATAAAGACATTATTATCCTCCTTTTGCCTTGGTTCTTTTGTTCACATTAATAGCTAGTGCCACGTGTCATAGTGTAGTGATCAGAGCGATGGTGCGTAAAGTCAAGGGTGCTAGGTTCGATTCCCGGTGAAGGTGTAACAACAATAACAATTTTTCCTCATTAATTTCAGGAAATTTGTAGTCGGTAGAAATTGAAATAATTTCAGATTAATGTTTGAATATTTATTTATTTCAGCAATCAACGGGCAAAAATACCCAGTTACAATTTTAAGTATTACATTACATGTATATCAAAGTTATTTCATTTATTCTTTGTTTAAATAAAAATTAATTGATTAATATTTCTGATGTTCGATTTTAGATCATTAAAACTATGATTAAGCCGAAATGACAGTGAGTGAAATGTGTATTCTCTGTTTCTACTATAGTTCGTGCAACTCTCTCAGTTGACGTAGGTTATGACTGATTGGGCATTTATTAAGTATCTATGTCAAAGATTTCAGAGGAGTTTATTTGATTCATAACGAAAATCAAATCATGACTGTAATGATTTTATTGAACAAAATTTATAATGTAACATAATGCGTGAGTAGTCATGTTCCCAGTACTGTATGGTTGCAACATTTTTGTCCTTAGAAGAAAGATATCTGAGAAATGTTGAATAGACTCAAGGTTAACGAATATCTAACGAATAACAGTGTAGAGATGAATGAGGGTACATGGGTTTGTTTATATATGAAACCAAATGTCCTATGTGCTTCAGACATAACCATATCCAAGTGCATTTTAAAGATATAGTTGCTTTGAAAGATAATTCCTAGGTCCTTTATTAAATCTAACTTCTCCAATACTGTACCATGTAGCATGTAATTATGTAGTAATTTTCATCTTTGACTACGTGTAAAGGATAGAAGTTTTCATTTGTAAAGATTTAGGGAGAGACCATTGGGAGATTTTGTTAAGATCAGTTTGGAGTTTGAGCTGATCTAAAGGAGAACTAATTTTGTAACATAGTTTCACATCATCAACAAATATAAGTATTTTACGTAAGATACCATACCGACAATATCATTTATAAACAGTGGGAATAGAACCGGGCCAAGATGCGATCCTTGAGGGACATCAGAGTTTATTCTAAAGGGGTATGATTGATGATCATGAATCTTAACTATCATTTCTCATTGGGTCAGGTATGACTTAATCAGTTTATGAGAATAGGACTGAAGCCCATGTTATAAAGTTTAGACAATAGAATAGCATGGTCCACTGAGTCGAACAACTTATGGAAGTCAAGACAAATAGAATCTACTTGACAGTTATCATTTAGAACGTTAGCTATATAGTATTGAATTCGTTAAAGTAGATCGACCTTTCAAGTAACCATGATGTTCTGGTGTTATTTTATTAATGAAGCACTCACAAATCCTTTTGTTCAGGATAACATCGAGAAGTTTTGCGAATGTAGAAGTAATCGCTATGGGTCTGTAATTGGTGACATCGGAAATATTTACAGACTAGTGTATTGGAGTAGTAAATGTTTTCTTCCAGATAGCAGGAATGCTAATAAAAAATTATAACCGTTAAGTGTAGCCTGAATTTTTTTACCAGAAATTGTGAAATATGGGTCTCCATAATAATACATATGTATCGTATAATATAGGGTTACATGCTAAATATTCCTTCTGTAGACAAGATTGTTTAGATTTTCCATCGTTTGATTTAACTTGGTTTTTCATACCTACTACTTGACTTCATGTCACTCAGATTCAATCTTCTTGATATCGATTGCGGGAATTACTTATGCAATTATAAAATCTTTGACAATGAAAATATTTGAGGCGGCATTGAATACATTTAATTTTTTTCTAACGAAATACATTTCAAAAATGACTTTCACCATGTTTGTGTATATGTATGAGAGTATATTTTGAAATTACCACCCACTTTATTGATGATAATTGAAAGGTTTTGTCGTTTTGTTCCGGCGCAAGCACAGCATAATAGGAAAACTATTTGTCAATGTATTATATAGCTGTGAATCCCTAAAGGTAACAATTTGTTTACGAAATGTGTTATATGTATATGAAATATTTTGATTGCCGTTATTAAAAGCATTAACCAAAAGTCACGTACTTACAAAGGTTACACGTGGTGCAGTGTAATTTATGCCAGGATCTGGACATACTTCTCCAGTTATACCCGTTTTATTATGATTGGATGGATTAACCATGGCAGTAATTGCTACCGAGAGGACAACGCGAAACATGTACGCATTCATGATAGCAAAGAAACCCATTATCCCCAAAATCCATCTTTGTGGTATGATAAAACCTAAAACAATGTTTTTCCTTTGATTATAATTATTGGCTTGCTTGTTAGAAGTTATTCTTAGGGTCATGTTACACAACGCGTAGAGAAGCGAACCATGCGCGGTATGTACCTACTGCCGCTCAATCCATTAACCGACATGTGGAATGTCGATCCACGCTCCTTGTCATGGGGTCAACGCGGCTTGGAGCATGAAGGAATGCGCTGGCGGGTTCTTTTCCGAACATTGTTAGTAAATGTCGAAAGAAATGCGCGTGTGGTTATCAAATCAGCTCCAAAAATAACTTATTCAAATAAAATAATTCGAAATGGTTTTATTCGATTATGGTAACGTGCCTACCACATTGAGGTTAGTATTCGTGTCAGCAAGTAGATATCCATATATTTAAATGGAACTTCTTGGAGCATACGTAATCCTAAAATGTAGCATCGTACTACAGTTGGCGTTTACCGCGCCATTTGTGGTATTTTCTATAACTTATTCAGTTTGAATAAACATACCTATAGAAGTTACTGTAAAATTATATTATGCATGTAGCAAGTTTGAATAATATATAACATACGTGAAAATCTTTTGTAATATACGTATAATTACCTTTTTACTACATATATATTTATAAGAATTACCGACAGTGCCCGAGAAAAAGCACGCCAAGACGTTACTTCACGCTCCAGACCGCGCCGGCAATAGACGCCCCGTGTAACAGAGGCTTTAGATGTAGTAATTCGATTGTAAAAATTATTGGTTTTTATAAAGTTAATCAATGGAATCAGAGGAGTTAGGCATATAATAAAATAAAAAACGTTATAGAAATATATGATTCGCTTAAAAATTTTTAGAATTACAATTTTCATAGAATAACTAGTACATAAATCAAGTAAAAAATATGCACATTTCAATAATTTTTAATGCATTTAATGTTGTTTACCGTCACAAATAAGATCCATTTGCTACAGACAGGACTTTAGATGTAGCAAAATTATGCAAGATTTCATAACCAACAGCAATTAACTGTTTACGAACCTAGTATATGTACGGTGCACTTCAACAATGTTATCTTCAACATCAATTATCAGCATTTAAAACATCTAGAGTTAATAAATAAAAGCTTTACAAGTGTGTCAGCATAGTTATATGAAAAGAAAACAAAACTAATCGAAGTATGATGCTATTTGGCAAAAAATAGGATCGCAGTAAACAAAACGCAAACAACGCAAAAACGTTTTAACTATTTTACTGTTATTTTCAAATTTTAAGCTCATGTAGGTATGAATTATACGTAGCTCTTTTAACAATGTTCTGTTAACAGTTGTAGTATACAACTGGTATGCAAAGGAAGAAAAAGTAAGGCAAAAGCGAACATAAAGATAGGGGGACGAAAAATTAGGTACCTAGGAAGTCAGATAAGTCAAGACGGAAGGAGAAGTATGAATATAAAGCAAAGGATAGCGCAGGGTCGAGTCGTCTTCAATAAAAAGTAGTCATTTCTATGCTCGCCAACGGTTAATTTAGAAATCCCAAAGGATTGTTAAAGATGTATGTTTGGAGCGCGACGCAGTAAGAGTGCGAAACATGGACGGTGGGGGCGATGGAAAATAAAAGGTTAAAAGCATTCGAAATGTGGTCTTACCGGTGAATGATGAGAATACTGTGGATAGAGAAGGTTAGAAATGAAGAGGTATTAGAAAGAAGAGGAGAACACTGGACTCTATGGAAGTCAATAATAAATAGGCGATATAGGTTGGTAGAACACCTTCTCAGGCGTTAAGGGCTAGTCAGAGACATATTGGAGGCAGAAATGGGAGTTAGAAGGAGTAGAGGTAGACCTAGATTAGATTACTGTTCGCAAATACAGTCGAACCTGGATAAGTGAGAGCTCAAGGGACCGCGATCTGGTTTTTTTCTTATAGAGGTTTCTCACTAACCCGACTTTCTAGCTTATAGAGTTATAGCAGGAATCTGTCTCACTTATAGAGGTATATAAAAATACTGTTCGACAACACATTGAGATTTCGTTTAAACAATATGAGGAAGTACAGAACCTTTTTTGGCAACTTCTTTTATGAACTTACTGTAATAAGATTGTTAAACAAGTCGGTACGCACATTTGGCTATAATAAAATAAAGACTCGGTTATTCGAATACAATGTAAGTTCCTAGAACTATAGAAAACAACAACAGACACACATTTGGTCATTCGAATGAAATAAGAGTCTTAAGAGAAATTTAAGAATGTCATAAAATAGCAGAAGTAAACTGTCGCTTATAGAGGTATAGACAAGTAGCAATCTTACTTAAAGAGGTTCACGCATGAAACTTATACAGGTTTTATGTTTCTCACTTATAGAGGCTTTAGAAGGGCAAAATGACGGGACCTGGTTGTTTTAGTTTTAGGGAAATGCGAAGATTAGCTCGGTATAGGAAAGAATGGAGGTGCGTGTCCATCCAGTCTTGGGACTGACGACCTTATGATGATGATAATGATAACTATTTACACTCATCAACAAACCGTTTAGAAAGTTAAATGTAATTATGAAAAAAAATTGCAAAAGTTCTCACACATTTTGGGGGGAGGGGTTAGAACCCTTAAAACTGTACCCTGCGTTCGCGCCTATGTCTCACTAATGCTACAAACAACTCTGAACTTTTAGATCTATCGATAGTTGAACTTTTTTGATGTTTTGAATTTATTGCAGGATAACACAATACTTGTGAAATACTTTCTTGCATGAACTCGAACCTTTTTGCGATTTAGGACCTGTGGAAACTGCACTCTTCTATAACAAACGTAGAATGCCGAGACCTTTTGTTTACAGTTAGTAATAGGTAACAAATGGAAAATCTATTTAATTTCTAATTAGGCACGTTGACTGCGCCAATTAATTAAATTTGCGTTTTAGGTACAAAAATGTTATTGTTCTAATTAAACAATCAATATAACAGTAAAAGCAGGTCATGTTTTAATGCAGAAAATTGCTAGTAACCACTCGTTTTTGCCGCTTTAATAATAAACAGCCCGCAAAGTTTTACGTACCTACAAAATAATGTCGCTCGTCCTTCAAATGAAAATTGTCTTTGAATGTGACGTAGATTTTCAGTACACATTGTTAAAATGTATTTCGCTTTTAAAAATGATGAGTAGGTACCTATGTGTATTTTCATGTTGCGGATTGTAATGAAAATATTCGCATTATTTACGTACCTACTTATATCCTATAATAGTATGTTGTAAATAAATTTGATGAGATTAAAATTTATATGCTTTATAACCGCAAAAACATATTATCGCTACCATTATTACTCTATTAACAAGTCAACAATTCCACGTTACAACAATGCTTAAATTTTACAAAAGGATTAGATATGGTTCACCGACTTTTAGTTTTAAAAATACCTATGTACGTATTTAGTTGCAGATGATATAGCAGTACTAGCATCTAGCAAGGAGGACCTAGAGATAGTTTTAAATAAAATGGAAGCGGTCCTGACAGATGAGTACTGTATGAAAATAAATAAAAGTAAAACTAAAATACTGGTATGCAAGGGAAGAAAAAGTAGGGAAAGAGCGAATATAAAGATAGGAGACGAAAAATTAGAAGAAGTGGTTGATTTCAGATACCTAGGAAGTCAAATAAGTCAAGACGAAAGGAGCAGTAGCAATGGTTTCTCTTATGTCATTATCCCCGCACGTCCTACAAAAAATGTAAATAGGTACCTATACAGGTTTTTGTTGTCCCTAATTAAATAATCCACAACTTTTATATGTGTTACATTTAGAAGAATTTTTTGTGGGTGTTGGTGAATTAATTTTTGAATAAATTTTACCCACTAGAGCTAACCTTATTGTAGCTTAGTGGTAGAGTAGGTGCTAGCGCGTATCTGTAGTGGGTAAAATTAATTTCAAAATTAAATGTTCTGCGTACATATCGTCGCTGCTGTTACCTCCTTGTAACTAAGTGGAAGAGTACTGGTGCGTAAAACTAGGGGCCCGGTTACGATTCCCGGAAAGACAGCAACACCAATTTTTCCTCATTCATTTGAGGTTGTTTGTAGTGGTAAGAAATTAATTGAAAAATAAATTCACGTTAATGTATTTTATCCCTGTATTTTTAGCGTAGCATTTTTAATAGTAATAAAATGCCTGTATAATTTCCTAGATAGTATGTTTTTAAGTCAATGTATAAATATATATTAGCAAAGTATAACACTATTAATTATTTATCAACTTCGATTAATTTGTGATGCTTTTGAAGTTTTAATTCTAATTATATCTAATAATCCCTAACACGAATATTAAATTATACAGATAATCATTATATAGGAAGAGATGCTAGTGGGGCTAAATACTAGCGACGAGTTGAGAACTGAACATAAAGATATAACAGGTCAATTAAAAAGTCCCCGGCCTAAAATAGTAAAACACATTTTTTTTTGCAAAATTCGTTTTTATTATTCAACATAATTCCCTTCAAGGGTGATACACTGATTATAGCGATCCTGCAACTTTTCGATACCATTTTTGTAGTACGATATGTCCTTTGCTTCAAAATAGGCCTCAATAGTGGTCGCTGGGGGCCAAATCTGGAGAATACGGTGGATGCGGAAGCAATTCGAAGCCCAATTCATGAATTTTTGCCATCGTTTTCACTGACTTCTGAGACAGTGCATTATCTTGGTGAAGCAGGACTTTCTTTTTCTGCAAATGCGGTCGTTTCTCGGCGATATCGTCCTTCAAACGGTCCAATAACGCTATGTAATAGTCGCTGTTGATGGTCCTTCCTTTTTCAAGGTAGTCAATGAAAATTATTCCACGCGCATCCCAAAATACAGACGCCATAACCTTGCCAGCCGACTGTTGCGTTTTTGCACGCTTTGGAGCGGGTTCATCGTGTGCAGTCCACTCCGATGACTGTCGATTGGACTTCGGAGTGAAATGATGGAGCCATGTTTCATCCATTGTCACATATCGACGCAAAAACTCGGGTTTATTACGCGTGATCATCTTCAAACACTGCTCTGAATCATCAACTCGTCGTTGTTTTTGGTCAAAAGTGAGCTCGCGCGGCACCCACTTTGCACAGAGCTTTCTCATACCCAAATATTCGTGAATGATGTGATGTATACGTTCCGTTGATATCTGTAGAGTGTCTGCTATTTCATTCAATTTCAATTTACGGTCATTCAAAATCATTTTGTGGATTTTTTTAATGTTTTCGTCCGTAACAGCCTCTTTTGGGCGTCCACTGCGTTCACCGTCTTCGGTGCTCATTTCACCACGTCTAAACTTAGCATACCAATCCTTGATGGTTGATTTTCCTGGGGCAGTGTCCGGAAATTCGTTATCAAGCCAAGTTTTTGCTTCAACTGTATTTTTTCCCTTCAAAAAGCAATATTTTATCAACACGCGAAATTCCTTTTTATCCATTTTTTTCACAATAACAAAAGTTGCTTCACTAAAAATGCTATAATTCACAAACTAATGATCCGACAGCCGTCAAATTTATAGACGCGTCTTTTGAAGGTTAGGACTAACTGAAAATCATATGGATTTAGTTCTGGTGCCGCCATCTATGTGTCAGGCCGGGGACTTTTCAATTGACCCTAGTATTTTGCAATTATCAAAGGGCGGCATCATCTTTAAAAAAATACGATGTGATATATGAGAATTCGTACTAATACCTTCAGTTATCTTTTCTTATAAATGATAAATTAATATACGTTATGTCTAATCGGAATATTAAAAGAGTAAACTAAAAAAGGGTAGAATAAAAAAAAAGAAAAATTAGCAACCTATATCGTTGTATTCACGATAATCTTCCGAACAAAATTCCGTAAAAAATTTAATCCGAATAATTTTTCCCAGCCACCCATATTTCCTGGACTAAGAGTATAAGCATGCATTAAGAAATGCTTTTTCGAAAAACATTAAACTTCAAACGAGCAGAAAATTAAAGTCAGCATG